TATACTCAGCTGTTTGGCGTTCTACGTCACTGCACCGGGTGTCGCGAAAACAACGTACGCGCGCGCGCGCTTGTTCGCTCGCTCGCTGTCGAGCTCACGCGCATCCTCCCTTTCTCTCTCTCCCTTTCTCTCTCTCTCTCTCTCTCTCTCTCTCTCTCTCTCTCTCTCTCTCTCTCTCTCTCGACTCGATCCCAGCAAGGTTGTTGCCCTCGAAAATTTATTGCTCACGGACGCGGATCGCGAAACGTCATACTGAACACGCGTCCCCGTTTGATCTATCTCTCCTCGCCGAGCGCGTGAGGTCTTCAAGATCATCTTGAAGAATATGATTCCTGATGAAAAATTTACGGCGAAAAACGCACCGTTATTAACGCGGTAGCCGAAAAGATGCGTGAAAAGTGCTCTAATGTGAGACAGGATTTATGATTCCGCGAGCTAGAGAAGCGGCGAGAGCCCATTACAGCGTCGGGCATCGATGCACGGTTTAAAGTCCGCGCGGAGAGCAGACACGTGGGTGACACGTGCCAAGCAGTCTTCTCGCGTGTCGTTACGCTCTCTAGATTGAAGGCGCGCGCGGGGCATTTGGCCGAGAAAATTGTAAGGATATTGTTTCGGGAAGAATGCGAGGAGTCCGCGTTGGACGTCACAAAGATTGTGTCACCTTTTTTTTCCAACGAGCCCCCCTATATTGCCGTATCTAATACGGGATTTGTTCCTTCAGTAGTTTCTAGAATGGAAATGCAGCTTTTCTACAGTTAAGTACCGGACACATTCTCGAGATAAAGATACTGAGATAAAGATACTTTTTCCTCCCGTTGATGATTAAATCCGACTGAGGTTACTCACGGAACAAGAAAAGGACACAAGAGGCGTGACTACCACCGTTCAGGCACTGCGATTACGGTTCGAAGACGAGCTTGTTTTTTTTCTTTTCTTTTTTTTTTGCGAAGACCGTAGTGACCGGTCCGATAACTGTAGAAAGGCTCGGCGTGTTAAGGTCGAATCAGAAAGTGGCCCCGCAGTGTCGAAATAACGGTCGATGAGCAAGGTCACCGACTCGTAGGTTAGGCTAGGTTAGATTACGCATACACGTCGTCGCCGACGACGACAGTAATGTACCTCTCTTCGTCAATGGGACGCGTATACGGTGAAAAGCAGCGCGCGCGAAGCAAGAAAAGGGGGGCACGCTACAGTTATTCCGGCGCGCGATGTGATGCGAAATGTCACGACGCGCAACGACGGAGGGGGGAAAGGGGAGGAAAGGGGAGAGAGCTAGCGCGAGAGAGACCTCGAACCGGTTTCGTCTCACCGCGGCCTGCATCCGCCACTGATGCAAGTGCGATGCAACGCGAGATGAAGGGAGAGGATGCGCGAGCAAGAGGAGAAGGAGGAGGAGGAGGAGGAGGAGGAGGAGGAGGAGGAGGAGCAGGTGGAGCGGTGGAGGAGGACGCGAGCCAGCAGCATTTGTTACAAAGTGACGGTTACTAACGATCTTGTAAGAACCGAACAACCGTCAACAACTGAACAATCGAACGCGTTAAAATATGCATTCGCTTCGCTTCGCGCTATGATTTAACATGGCGGAGTCGCGTATCGCGATCCAACTGCGAATTACGCGGCTCGCATCATTCGCGCACAGCGTGATTCTCTCTTCTTCTTCCTTGTATCCCTGTTGATTCCGCGCGATTCACCTCCACGGTTTAATAAGTAATGCCTGCACGTGATCGATATCTCTCTTGATATTCCCATTTTCCACGAAGAATTTATTCACAGCCGGTTACCTCTAGCGCGCGCGCGGTCATCGCTAATGAATTTCCCCGAGTCGTCATGCCCTCACGTCGTGCCGCGCTTTGACGTGCAGCAGTCACGCTAGATGTTAATTAATCGCCGCTTTTTCAACGCATCGTTTGCGTACGCCTCTTAGAAAGTTCCTTTCACTGGTTACTCAATTATTTTTCTTGCCGTGCAGCAGCACATCATACACACACGGCCGGGCTATAATCGGACTCTCTTCAACACCACAATCGCGCCCCGTTTTTTTGCAAACGAGTCACTCCGAGCGCGCGTTCGCTTTCTACGATATTATCTTCCTCGTCGGAAAGAAGGCAGACTTTAACTCAATTTGCGAGAGAAAAAGAGCGAGAAGACGTCGTCGTCGTCGTCGTCGTCGTCACAGCGATATCGCCGAGTATCGGTAACATCAGTCGACTTCGACTGATAACCTGTCACCGTCACGAGCTCCTCCTCCCCGCCGAAGCTGACGAGCGGATTCACATTATACACGCGTACTCGCTAGAGCACTCTCCGCGACATGAAAAGAGGCGTCAAAGCGACGAAGCAATTATCGCCGATGTCGCACACTCGCGCGCTACCGCCGCGCCGGTTCAACGCTCGCGGCTTTCGCGACTCATTATGAGAAGCGAGCGAGCAATTATTAATCGCCGCAAGACGCGTATCGCGTGCTCCCGACGCGCGCGGGAAACGAGCGAGATATTGATAATTGTGTCATTGCGACGTGTGGCCCAATTGTTAGCCGAGGCGGGCCGGCGCCGGAGAGGAACGTGTTCTTATCGGCGACGTGCCTTGCGATCGGCGGACCTGTCAAAACTCGCGAATCCTCCCCTCGCGTTATACGCCCCGACGTAAGCGTCTGCGGCCACCAGGACGCTCGCGTGCCGCGAATTCCGCGCGCGCGGAACGGCTGCGTGCTTGTTCAGTAGATGGGCTACCTCCTCTCGCGGACACGAACAGGATTCGTTATTGAGCGGCGGCGGCGGCGGCGGCGGCGGCGGCGGCGGCGGCGGCGATAGCGACAGCGACGACGACAACGACGACGACGATCACGGGCATACAACGGTCTCATTCATCGGGTATAAATACGGCGCGGCGGCCGTGACGTCACCTGATTGGACGTTACGACATGGCAACTGAATGTATCTTTTGGTCGTCCCATCACGTGCTCGACGTACGTCTCTTTTGTACGCGTTCGGACGCCGGTCGAAGGAGAGGGACGAACGTGGACGGATGGATAGCTGGCTGGCAGGCAAGAGAGACGAGGGGAACGAAGGGGGAACGAAGCTCTTGGAGGACGTTAGCTTCCTTTTAACGCGATCTCTCCCAAACACGCGGCGTACGTACGTGTGTGTGTGTGTGTGTGTGCGTGTGTGTGTGTGTGTGTGTGTGTGTGTGTGTGTGCGCGCGTGCGTGTGTGAGTGCATGTACGCGTATGTGTGCAAGGTACCATGTTCGTATAGAGCGTCGTAGCGATACAGGCGTGTGCGCGTGGCGTTGCCTTCTCCGCGCCAGATGGCCACGAACGACGACGCGAGTCGCACACAGACCCCTCTCTTCACTATTTATAGAAGCCAACGATAAAAATGCCAGAACGCCGCCCGCGAAAAAATTACATCGACCCAGCTAGCTGCCGTCCGCCTATGCATGCGTGCGTATGTGCGCGGTCGGCGTCTCGGAACACGAGACGAGAGACGAGACAAGACAAGACAAGACGAGACAAGACAAAGACACACACACACACACACACACACACACACATATAACTGCTGTCTTAGCCGAGCGATTGTGCGCTCCGTGCGAAAAAACTGTCGCGAACGCAGCGCGAGTCGCGCGCGCACAACGTTCGTGATCGATCGCGATAACAAGAGACACGACGGCTCTCGCGAGAAGTTGACGATACACGCGCGCGACGCGCTACGACTTCCCTTTAAATCGGAGAACCGGGAGAAACAGAGAGAGAGAGAGAGAGAGAGAGAGAGAGAGAGAGAGAAACGCGGGTGGATTCTCAAAGAGCTTACGCACGTTCCTATTTGGTCATCTATACGCGCTGCGTACATTCCCGAAAATAGATTCCGTTCGGCGTTCGCTGCTCATCGGAGGTTCTTCATAAACAAAGGCAGCGCATTGCCGCCGCCGCCGCCGATTATAACTCGGATAGCTCCCTTCACCGCGGGAGATCGGCGGCGACCATACTTCGCGTTTGTGTGACTCGACAATGAACATCGGTCACACAGATCGGTATATACAACATCGATGTATATAATATATATAATGTCAGCCCTGTTGAATAAAATTCCGTATCTGTTTCCAAGTTGTACAATTTTTGAAAACATTTGTCGAGAGCCGCCCTCGCAACAGGAGTCTGGCGAGCTCACTTCCTGCTTAAGGATCGTAACTTCAGCTAACGGATTTCTAACTTGTCACAAAAGACTCACCATACCTACTGTGCTTTGTACTTTATTCCCATCGAGTCGCCGAAAAGAGAAAAAATCGCACGTCGACGAAAATTCTTTTCTCAAGCCGTGTTCTTTCTTTTCTTTCTCCGTTGACCATTCACAGTTCGCGTTAGCCGACCAAGAATGCGATTCATTGGGTGCTTTACAGGCCCCGCGATTGCCTCTCTACAGCCAGGGTTGCTAGATGGCCTTGATTTCCAGGATTGTCCCGGAATTTCCGGAAAATCAGAATTTCAAGAAAATTATAATCATAGAATTTATGTTTTTAACTTTATGGTGTACTAGAGAGAAATGTGAGAGCAATCATTGGGATTTATAAGGTCGAAGAAAAATGTGTGTCTAAACTTCTCTCCGCTGGTAGCTAATTCACACAGTTATTCATTGCAAGTAAGCAACGACATCGATCTCTTAACCGTGTCTCTTACTCTTCCATCAGTGAAATTTAATTAAAATTCTCGCGAACAACCTATTTTTCAAGCTAAAAAATGTCCCGGAAATAGTAATTTTGCATCTGGCAACCCTATCCTACGGCACACACGAGAGATCAACAACAACAACGAGACGCGAGGTCGGGACGCCTTCGAAGCGCGTCCAATGAATCGCGCAGCGTTCGCCGAGACGGGACAGACAACACACACCACCGCGCGCGGGGACAGGTTTGATGTCGCCGGTCGATCGCTGCGCGCGCGCGTGTCCGCGAATAAGCAATAGCCAGCGGACCAGAAGTGGAAAGAACAAGAAGTCACTCACCGTTGGCCTTGAAGGTGGTCGCAGTTTCGAAACTGGGCGCGCGCACCGGGTGCTTCTCCTTGTTCCTGTCCTGCACATAGCTGACCGCAAGGCTGACCGCCGGCAAGGAGTCACCGCGCGTCAACGGCGGCCTCACCGGGTGCTGCTCCTCCAGGGAGAGCCTCTTCTCGCCGTGCTCGTCCTCGTCGATCGCCGAGATGCCGCGCTTGAGCTGCGTGATGCCGCGATTGTGGCCAAGGTTCACGTGATGCGCCACCGCGGCCAGATGGGCGCTCGGCAAACGCACATTGTTGCTCCTCATGCCGTTCGCCATCTCGTGACCCTCTTCGTGCTGGCGACTGATCTGCTGCTGGCGGGCGGCCGCCGCCGCCGCCGCCGTGCCCGAGTTGAACTCGGTGATGGAGTTGCGATGGTGCAGCTGCGAGTAGCCGGCCGCGATGTTGTGGTGCCGCGAGTGGCCTTGGCCGGCGGCGGTGTTCTGGATCGGCAGCACGTCGAGATTCGCGCCGCCGTTGTGCTCGCTGTGCGCGGCCGCGGTGCGGTAAGTCTTGGAGGCGGACGGCCGCGCGTCCTGGAAGCCGTGGGCTTTCTTCAGCTGCTTCGCGGACTCGAGCACGAGGTCGATGCGATCAGCGCCTTCGTAATTCACGCAGCCGCGGCACACCGGCTCTGAAAAGTCCATTATCATCGCCCAGGGCATCCTGGGCAGGTCGCACAGGTAGCACTGCGTTCGCTTGCCCATCATCTTGCCGGTTGGTAGCAACGCGCCGCGATCTCGGGGGAGTTGTGTTGCTGCCGCCGCCGCGCGCGCTGATAGCGCGCTGTGCTTGCTGCGATGGCGATTGAGTAGTATAGTAATAGTTAGCGGTAGCGGTAGTACCAGCGGACGTCGTTCACGGTTGCCGTTCTCCGCGCCGCGACTTATCACTCACACATCCACCACCGCGTTGTTCCCGCGCGCGCGCGCGCGCGCGTGTGTGCGTCTCTGATCCCCCAGGCTCCTCTCTCTTATCTCTCCCTCGCGGATAACGATGTATCTGTATCTTCGCGCACCGCACCGTTCGCCGTCGCGTCGTCGTCGCTCGTAAACGTCTCGTCCGCCGTGCACCTTGATCTCGCTCGTTCGCGCTCACGCGCGACCTATCGCGCCGCGTATTCCTACGCCACAGAACGCGCGCACTGAAAGCCGCCGCGACGAGAGACGAGGGACCGCGCGCGCTCTTTACTACTCTCTCTCTCTCTCTCTCTCTCTCTCTCGCTCTCTCTCTCTTTCCTTCTCACTCTGTAACTCTCTCTCTTTCTTTCTTTCTCTCTCTCTCTCTTTCTCTCTTTCTATCTCTCTCCCCTGTTCAGTTCACCTCGCGCGATCACTCCGCGCGACGAAGCGAAGATCGATGCTGACCGCGCGCGCGCGCGCGAACCTCCGCGACACTGCTTGTCCGAGAAACCGCTCGAAATAACGACGACAACGAGCCGAACGACGACGACAACGTCAACTGCCTCCGACCGTCTCGCGCGCACTCAGTCTCGGCTCGCGGGCACATGAGCCGCGAGAGGACGACCGCACGACGCCCGACTCTGCGCGACTTCGCGTCGTACTACGCCGCTACGGTCACTACGCGAACGAATCGTGGAACGGTCTCACGAAAAAGAGAGAAGTAGCGTCGTCGTCGACGTCGTCGCCGTCGCCTTCGGAAGGCGACGAGAAAGTTTGCGTCACTGGCTGGGAAAAATACAGCACGCCCCGAACGAGAGACGTCGCCGTCACGATCTTCCGATGTGTACTCGTATATGGGTGTGGGTGTGTGTATGTGTATATCGCACTATCTCGCGCACGCACTGCAAACTGACAAAAGAAGCAACGACAAATGCGAGGCACCGCGCGCGCACGGACACCGCACCGCGATCGCCGGTGTGGCGTGATGACGTATTGTTTCTCTCTCTCTCTCTCTCTCTCCCTCTCTCTCTCTCGTTCTCTTTCAGCGACACACGAGACACGCGAAATTAACGGATTATGCGCACCGTATATACGCGACACGGTGAACGTACACTTCGTCCGTCTGGCTGCCGTACGAAGAGACGAGCGCTCGAGAATGCGGCGGCAAAACCCGAGCCACGACCGTCGCGTACCCCTCTCCAGCGGCAAATCTAATACCGTCTCACTCGCTCTGCTTCCCCACCCTACACGTCTCTCTCGTTCCCTCTCTCTTTCTCTCCCTATGATCTCACCCTGCCCTCTCTCCCCTCACACGCTCGCGATCTCGCGCTCGCGCTTGTCTCGCAGATGCTTTCGGCTATACTCGGCTCTGTTCGGCTCTCCTCGCTTTTCAATCCATTACTCTCTCTCTCTCTCTCTCTCTCTCTCTCGCTCTCGCTCTTCTTCTCTGTTCCTCTTTCCCTCTCCCTCATGTGCTTATCTTCCTCCTCCCGCGCCAATCCTGCCGGGTGGCATTGCCAGTCGCTCCTCGTCCCCGATCCCCTCGCGACTCAGCTACGACGACGACGACGAGGACGACGACGACGACGACGACGACAACGACGAAGCGACGACGCGCTCCGCCAATCGGGCGTTGTGGCGTCATGTGCATGACGTCATAATCATGAAGCTGCGCATGCGCGCTGCGAAATGCCCTGGGGGACACGTAGGCAGCGACCGGGATCCGGAGTGCGAAACGCGAGGGGTCACTAGAGGGGTACGAAAGGGGGGAAGGAGGCTGCATGCTGTGCGCGCGCGCGCGCGCGCTCTCTCACATCAGCTCGGCGCCCACTCTTCGCAATGAGTGGCCGGTTTTACACCCGTGAAAAATAGATATTGTCGCGATGAGAGGGAACTTTATAGGTTCCTTGTAAAAAATGTCACCTTGCTCACATTGAAAATGAAGTAGATACGATCGATGGTAAAAGGATTGCGCAATGCTCCTTTTTTCGACGAATTTCGCAACGCATTTGCACCCGATAGGAAAATTCATTTCTTCTTTGGCAATCTTCAGGAAATAATGTTTTCCAGCGGATAATCTGAATGCGCTCAAAAGTTCATCATCGAGGTATAACTTTTCTCCCACGGATTGTGCATCTTTGACACTTGATGAAAGAGATTTATGCACACAGACTACTCGGCGCTCCACGGGAGGTTGCGAAGACTACTTACATTTGAAAAAATAGCCAGTACCACAAACATTCGACCTTTGTAGACGAAGGTAGTATGTCTGTCGATGAATGGGGAAAAGGAATATCATTTGTATCTTTCTCTCTCTCTCTCTCTCTCTCTCTCTCTCTCTCTCTCTCTCTCTCAAGAAGATGCAATCTGTATGCATAAATCCATAATAAAAGAAAGAAGAAACAATCAAGCAAGATTGACAGTTGAGAAAATGCAGCTGGAGATAACAAACATTTTATATCAATGCTCCGTACTAACCACGTTGACGACATGTGTTTGTTAATTTCGTCATTAACTCTGAAGCGGACGCGTGCGAATGTGACACGTGTTAACCGACTTGTTTCTTCGATCCTTCACCCCGACGATAAGATTTGCGATTCTAACGATTGGCCAACATCGCCAATGTCATGTGTCATAGCAGAATGGAGCGCACGTGGTACATATATCTGAGAGAACACAATGGCGCACATGATGCGCCAACGCTCGTGCTCGTGCTTCGCCTCGAAGAATCGCAAATCGCAAATTGAGAAAATTCGTCAACGATACTCGAAAGCTTCGGAAAAATGCAACAACAATAAATTGAATAATATAAATTGAATGACTAAAAGATTAATAAATTGGCAAACAATTAACAAATTGAGTAATCATAAAATAAATAAATAATATCGCAAATGCCGTACTTTCCGACGAAAGCTTCGCCGATGCAACGCGGCGCGCGAACATCGGCTACCGAACGAACGAACGAACAGATGAAACGTCGAATAACTCCGGCACCTTATTGCGTTCCGCCAAAGAATCCTCGGCGAGAACGCGCACTCTCTTTGTCTCCCCCCCCCCTCTCTCTTTCTACACCTCTAATCTCCGTGACATAAACAATGATCGTTATTACCGTGGTACCCGCTGAGTCGGCACAGGCGAATGGTGCGCTATTTTATCGGGTTTTCTCAGCGATAAAACGGTCGACGATAACACTTGACAGGAACACACGGCTGGCGTAGATAACCGCACGAATGCATTATCGCCGATGCGTTACTACCTGACCTGACGAAACGACGAAAGCGCTACGCGACACGCCCGCCGTGGCTCGTTCTCATAATCGCGGCTGATAACAATCGATCATTCAGTGTAATCAAGCCGTAGAAGTAGAAAAAAGAGTCGGCTAATCAAGTCGTGCGCGTAGAAAGAAAAAATCGGTACAATCAATCCAGAGGAGAAATAACAAGCTGACTGGCTGATAATAACGCCCGCGTCAAAAAGCCGCGTATACAAATCCGCTTCGAGACGAGAACGATTCGCGACTCCACCGTTTTCTTTTTCTTTCTCTGCTCGCTTCTCTCTCGTCAATAACGCGTTCTATCTCGTCTGGACTGAAGTCTGATAACGGTTTACATAAGCACTGGCGTTCGTGAATTTCGTAATCGCGGCTATATTAAAAACACGAGAGAGAGAGAGAGAGAGAGAGGGGGGAGGGAGATCACGAACATAAGCTGAAATAAACTGCCGCGGCAGCGCGACGCCACACTTGTTTATATCTGCCGCCGATTAAACACATTAACACCGATAACGCGCAGGGATTACATCATATCTGAAATTATTACAAGTTCATTAATGACGAGAAAGCAAGAGAAACAAAAAGGGAGAGAGAGAGAGAGAGAGAGAGAGAGAGAGAGAGAAAAAGAGAGGAGAGTGCTTCGCGTGGGGACGGTTCCATTTGCTTGAGAATTGCGGCAATCGCGCGCGCGCGCGGGGCCGTGCGTGTCTATCATCGTCGTCGACTCACTGAATGCAGCAAGTGAACGCAAAAAAAGTCGACGAAAAAAACGTAACAACAAGAGGACGAGCGTAACATCGCGTGACGTCATGTGCAATTTGGCGAATACAACGTTATCTCGCGCGCCTGTGTGTGTGTGTGTGTGTGTGTACGTTTGTTTCTCTCGATGTGCAATATGCACGTCGCGTAGAAGCCGCGTCGTCGTCGTCGTGAATGACATCAGCCTGACATCATAGTGTTCAACACGAGATCGTAACGTGGACTTTTCTCAGAGAAGGGAGAGAAAGAGAGACAAAGAGACAGATAGGAAGAGGATCCTTCGTCTCGGCTGAAAGAGCGTACGTGTGTGTGCGCGCGCGCGCGTGTGTGTGTGTGTGAGCGAGTATGAGACACATTTGTAGATTAGATAATATTAATATACGCCGTACGACGAACGTGTGTAACTTGGACATCGTCGGCAATGACGACAGCGATGGAGACGACGCGCCGCGCCGTACCGGTGAGGCTATAAAAATAATGCCGACTATCACGTGGTAATTTATTTAAAGTAATCCCACACTTTGCATAAGAACAACGTCGAATTGTGCCGCGGTGCGACGCAAAAGTCTCGGAAACTCTGACACGCGCGACCATCGCGACAATGATGACGAGTAAACTTTTCGCGCACACGTGCGGTCTTAATATTATTTTCTTTCCCGGGTCGACCGATAGGGTCGACTTTGATGACACATTGCAAAACAGCTTCTGGTCGGCCGAGACGATCGGCGGAGTACAAAGAGAAGAAAAGAGGAAAAGAGGGAGAGAGAACAAGAAAAGGAAAACATCTCGCACGACATCGTCATCTCCTTCGACACGCGGTGACTGTAAATCGAAGTTGCCGTCTAGCTTCTAATTTTATTTCGCGATAGACTCCAGACGGGGAGGTGGAACCACCGATATCTTGTCGCAACGAATGGCGCCCTTTTCAGATCGTTAGTAAAATTTTGACGACAACGACGGCGAATTCGTAATTCATCTGTCGCTCGACAGACGAAGTGCATCAGCCTTCCTCCGGTGATGATTCACGAGGAACGTGGATCTCCACGCGATCGACCACCAGCCGTCTGTGCAAACTTATAATGGTTCGGTCAGACGAGCGAGGAATTCCCAAAGAGGCGACACGTTCGAAATATCACACCGTTCGAAAATACCGTGGAAACCGTCAGTGAGCGAGCGAGAGAGATGACAATAATGAATAGCGTTTATCAATCGACCTAAACTTTCTCGAAATATCCTGCAGCTTAAATATTAAACGTCCCGAAAAGCGCCGAGAGAAAGAGAGAAAGCGTTATTTATTTTGCGCTCTGGATCAGAGACCCTCAAGCGCGTTGAAAATCACTCACTGCGGAAAATAACAACCATCCACATCAATAAAGAAATCTAAAATTATAAACAAAAGGTAACAAGTATAAAATGATAAGCAAAAGATAGGATAAGGAGCAAAATAGAGTCTCGCGCGAAATGCCGGCACGTAGAAAGCGACGCGCACGTGAAACGACCGTGGAATTAATCTGTCTCGCGCCCTCGGCCTTATCAAGGCCCCGAAATGTGTTCACCGCGCACGTCAGACCGCGCGATATTCGCATGATATCGCGTTTTTGCGCTATCGCGTCTTCGCGATACGGACGTAATATACATGAGATCGATTATTCTACCTCCAGTCCACGTACGGCCACGGTATGAGCGACGCGAGAGCCCGTATCTCCATCTCAGTCTCCGCCGTTATCTTTCCGCCGGTGCTTCTCGATAACGATCTGCCGAGCCAGCGGAAGATTTCTCGCCGATAAACAGAGGATTCGTTCGCGAGTCGTGCGAGCGAGAGGCAAATCCGCGAGTCGCCGCCGCCGCCGCCGCCGCCGCCGCCGCCGCAGCTGACACGGCGCGTGTCAACCTTGTTGGCCGATCGATTCGCTCGTTCGCGAATCAGACACGCCGCGAAGAATTTCCGCCGACGAGGCGCAAGTCAAGCGTGCGAGCGGGTCGCATCGATTCCGACACCTTGAATTCGCGCGGCTGCAACCGGCGTCCGGTCGCGCGACGCGCGATCGAAAGCGACACGCGATTATTACGCAATACACTCGCTTTTACTTTACCCGCCCCTGAAATGTTAATTTCGCCTTTGCCGTGTTTTTTCCGCGATTACGTTCTGTGCCAGGACGCAGAAACGCTTGACGTTGTTCGTTAGGTCGCTGTGACAAC